GTTCTGACCTATCTAATGAGTTGGAAAGAGATTTCTCTTTAGCTGAGATAAACTCTGCAATTAAAAACATGCAAAATGGAAAATCTCCAGGACCACATGGTTTTCTGGCAGAATTCTTTAAGAAATTTTCGGATCTACTTTCTCCCCTGTTATTATCAGTTTTTGAGGAATCCTTAGCTACACAATAATTGCCACTGTCTATGCGTCAGGCGGTAATTTCCTTGCTTTTAAAGAAGGATAAAGACCCCTTGAGCTGCAGTTCATATCGCCCAATATCGCTTTTACCGATGTAAAAATTCTTACAAAGATGTTGGCAAAACGAGTCGAACAGATTATCCCCACAATTGTTGCACCTGACCAGAACGGTTTTATTAAAAATCATCAATCCTTCTTTAATATCAGGCGGTTGTTTAATGTGCTGTATACTTCTGCTCCGCCCGGTCACAACTGCAATGAAATTTTAATCTCGCTGGACGCCGAGAAAGCGTTTGACCGGGTGGAGTGGAACTATCTTTTTAAGACCTTGGAGATGTTTAACTTTGGCCCTATATTTGTTTCATGGGTGAAGCTGATATATACCTTGCCAATGGCAGCAGTACGCACTAACAGTAATCTATCCAGCTATTTTGAATTGGAAMGTGGTACGAGGCAGGGGTGCTCACTCTCGCCACTCTTATTCGCAATCGCGATTGAACCACTCGCAGTGGCTTTACGGAACAACCCTAAGATTAAAGGTATTAATCGGTTTGGCACTAAATATAAAGTTTCCTTATATGCAGATGATACTCTTCTTTTTATCTCAGATCCCTTGTCTAGTGTTCCTGTGTTACTTCTTTTACTTCAAAAGTTTGGAAACATCTGGGTACAAGGTTAACCTTCAAAAGAGTGAATTGATGCCTGTGACTCCAATAGAAGAGCAGCATATGGGTCCAGTTCCTTTCAAAATTAGCTCTGCCAAATTTAAATACCTTGGTATTTGGATTACTCACAGTCACAAAGATCTTTATACAGCAAACTTTCTGCCTCTCCTGGTGAACCTTAAGAAGGACATCGCCACATGGGCATCCCTGCCTCTATCCCTGGGAGTAGAATCAACGTGATTAAAATGACAATATTGCCCAAATTACTTTATTTCAAAGCGTGCCAGTGTTCCTCACCAGGACTTTCTTTACAAATTTAAATAGTGAATTGTCRTCCTTTATTTGGAATAAAAAACATCCACGGATAGGCAGTAAGATGCTACAGTTACCCCATGGTCTTGGTGGCTTGTCACTCCCCAACTTTTTATATTACTACTGGGCGGCTAACATAAGAGCCTTACTGTACTGGTTGAGAGACGACAATCCTGTTCCTACTTGGGTAAATCTAGAGAGGAAATCAGTCACGGCGAGCTCTCTYTCTGCTTTACTTTGCTCCCGGTTACCGTTTAATCAACCCATCTCAACTTATACTTCTAATCCGTTGTAACTCACACAATAAAAATCTGGAATCAGTGCAGAAAGTCGCTTAAAAGTACAGAATTATTATTGTCTGCTCCAGTATCAAATAACCATATGTTTGCTCCTTCACTAATGGACTCTGTTTTCAATACTTGGAGTTTAAAGGGAATAACTTCTCTGAATGATCTTTATATAAACAATAAGTTCACCTCATTTGAACAGTTAGCACAGAAATTCGACATCCATAAGTCACAGTTCTTCAGGTATTTAAAACTGAAACATTTTGTAATGTCAAGCTCTGGATGTTTTCCTCTACRCCCCCCAACTTCTCTTATAGATGAGATTCTGATGTGTAAGTCTGTAACAAAATGCTCTATGAGTAGAGTTTATTCTCTGCTCAGCTCATTTTCTGACTCCAATTTAGATTCTTTGAAGGGCAAGTGGGAGATGAACTTGGAGGAATCCATATCAGACACAGTTTGGCAAAAAATTATTCACAATATATATTCGTCCTCAATATGTGTGAAACATGTTATAGTCCAATTCAAGGTAGTACATCGTCTACACTGGTCTAAGGACAGATTGTGCAAATTCAAAAAGGACTTGGATCCGACGTGTGATCACTGTGGACAATCCCCTGCCGCACTTCTGCACACATTCTGGTCCTGTCCAAAGTTACATGGATATTGGCAAGGCATCTTTGACACCTTTTCAGGACTATTTGGACGAACTGTTCATCCATCACCACTCATTTCTCTTTTTGGGGTGGCTCTAAGCAGAAGCTTCCCTCAGTGAACATCAGAGGACGGTGTTAGCTTTCTGCYCTYTAMTGGCTAGAAGACTTATTCTTCTTCGATGGAAGGATCCACATCCTCCAGTATATGGTCATTGGTTAAGAGAAGTTATGTCTTACATTCATTTAGAGAAGATTAGATATACTGTTAGGGGATTTGTAAACAAATTTTTTGACATTTGGCAGCCATTTATATCTTACTGTATGTAGAAAAAATTTCGGCAGATAATTTTGTGTAAAGGTTAAATATTGTTTCATCATACACAAACCTGTTCATTGTATCATTTGATGAATAGTAGATCGATTTTTGTTATTTCAGTGGATCCAGTTTAGGAGGGGAGGGATGGGAGGGATTTTGGGTGTGTGTGTTTTGTTTTCTGTTTTTGTAAGTCTGTTCTTTTTTGTGGTTTGTTAAAAAAATAATAATAAAAAGACCTTGATCCAAAAAAAAGGTCTCCTCAGATTGCACATTTTCGACTTCGTTTTCTGGGGAGGTTAGGGACAAAAAACATTTTCACAGCCCTGGAGCCTCCGGGGATGGCAGCAGCTGCTTCATACTCCCAGGACAGGCTCTCTGAATCCCGGGAAGACAGAATCAGGGACTCCATGGGTGAATTTAAACAAAATTAGCAACTTTTTTGAGGTTTTTGTGTTTCATGACAAGTCATCCTATTATGACAAAATTGTATGCTGAATACACCTCCCGTAAAAGCATGCAAGGACCACCAACGCTTACGCCATGCCCATGGAACAATTGCTCCAGCCCCGGGGAGCCTGCCTAGCCTAGCACCTTGAAACAACCGTTGGACCCTCACCGGGCTGAAACCTAACCCTAGTTGTGGAAAAAGATTCCCTTACTGACATTATCATGCATGCCGATGTTTCTTCAGCCACAGCATACTTCACTGGTTCAAGAAACTTGTCCAGAAACAGACAACCCATGGACCTGCATGGACTTTTAATTCAACCTCCCATCCCCCCAATTTATCATACATTTCATGACAATTGGCACACCCAGAGCGGGCCTGGGGATACCCAGGAACAATACCCGAGGACAGGAACTCATCCCTAGGGAGAGCCTGGCCAATATGCTGCGTGGACCTCCAGGGAGCACAACCACTGACACCGTGCCCGGGGAAGGGCACCCCAGCCCGGGTAACACAGAGCCAGAGGGCCCCCGGACCTCCAGGGACAATTTTTCTAAGTATTCCCAATTTGTCATTAACTACTTGCTAAATGATACATCCAGAGAGGGCACCGGGGTGCACGGGAACCATACCTGGGGACAGGGTCCTGTCCCTAGATAACTTAGAGCCACAGAGACCCCCTGACATCCAGGGGTGGTTCTCCAAGCGATGGCCCAATTTGACTTTGAATGCATGCTAATTAATACTTCCAAAGGTTGCCCTGGGATGTCCTGAAACCATACCCGGGGACAGGGACCCATTCCTGCGAAGCTCTGGACCAAAATGCCGCCCGGACCTCCAGGGGGCACAACCACACACCCCATGGCTGGGGAAGGGCACCCCATCCTGAGTAAGTCACAGCCAGGTAGCCCCTAGACCTCTTGGGGCAGTTCTCCAAGCAGTGTCCCAATTTGACATTGGATGCATGCTAATTTATACTTCCAAAGAGGACACCGGGACGCCGTGGAACGATACCCGGACTGGGATTTGAACCAGTGACCTTCTTGCTGAGAGGCGTCAGCTCTACCAACTGAGCCACCGTGTCGCCCATACTTAACCTAGACCATTCTAGGGTCAGGGTTAAGTTTAGGGACAAGGTTATGCTAGAGAAATGAATGTTACATGGTCCTAATAAGGATAGAAATACTAATGTGTGTGTTGTTTTCTAGATTTCAGAAAAACAGTAGGTATTTTTTTTAAAAGAAATGTATGCTACTCAGAGTTCCTCAGAGGAAGTTTACATTTCAAAACACCATCTTTAGACCCACACAGCTGCTCTGAAACTTTAGGACAAGTGGATTTACATCAGCTGAACATGTCCTCAGAGGATAGAGACTAATTAGAGGGGCAGGAGTTTGAGTCTAGGAGGGCTGAGGTTTTAAGCATACTTTCTTAAAACTATTACTGGTTTGTGAAACAGTCCTTCAACACATTACACAAGAGTTCTGAATGAAGAGTTTTGAGAAGTGAAATGTCTTCACATAACGAACAGAATAAAAGTCCATTTGATCAGGTTATAATTACCTGTGAAGTGACCTGAGCTTCTAGGACAAACACTCTGGTGTCACTAAATGAAGTCAGAGCTATGTTAGTGGTGAACTGCCCCACAGAGTCAGCCTGGAACCTCAGTGGAATGTTCACACAATCTACTGGACCTGAAGAAGGAATCAGATGGTGTAATCAGACTGATTTGTTTGATTTTACAGATTGTGTTCATGGTGGACYAGTACCTGCAGGGTTCTCCTGTGATGTGTTCACCTCCTTCACAGGTATTACAACCGTTTCAGGTAAAGAGAAGTACTGCGGCAAAGAAACCTCCACGTTGTATTCTATCCCTTTACTGTGCTTAACATTTAAGAGCTGATTGAAAAAAAGAGAGACATTTAGAAAACTGTGAATCCTTTCATTGCAACAGCAACCAGGATCTCTCTCTCTCTCTGTCTGTGTGTGTGTGTGTACCATCTGTTTTGTGAACTTGTGTGTGGCCGTGGACTCTCTCACGGTGCTGCTGTACAAAGTGTGGGTCAGCAGTCGCCTCCTGCGCTCGCCGGCGCTCATGCAGTGCTGAGCCCAGACAGCCAGAGCGTTCTCCCAGGACTCGTTGACCCGGGACACCTGAAAAACCTCCTCACACACGTCTCCGACATGACAGTGAAGCCTGAGCACAGACACACCTGTGTCTAACAGGAGAAAAACAGATATAAGTAGTGGAATGAAGGGGCTCCAGTAATTGGTAATGGTATTCTTCCTATTGAACTACAAAATCTTTGTAGTTCATTCCTTTGTCTCGGGGGTTGATGTCACAACTGCCATTTTGTGTCAGAAGAGCTTTATAACCCCATGGTAATGGCAATTATTTTGAGACTTCTTTCTTTTGTAAGGGTTTCTTGTACATTTTGCACAGATGGTGGATAGTTAGTTTCTACAAAAGTAGGTTTGCCAACTTTAAGTCTGCTAACAGCTAACTAACAAGCTAACATCAACAGGTTTGTGTCAGTCCCACCAGTCTTCAGCTGGAAGGAGATGAAAACGTGAGGCGCAGACTGAGTGACAGTAACAGCAGTTGGTAATTAGCTGTCAGTGCTAGCTTCTGCCAATTTTTACTTGTTCAACAGTTTAGTGTTAGCTTCCACAAACTTGCTCACCTGTTTAGCAGTTTAATTTATTTTTAGTCAGTGAATTTTGAGTTAACAATGCTAACATTTTGGTGAGCTGTGTCCACCAGAGCAGATTAACATCAGTTTTTGCTTTATTGGTGTCAAATCTGTTCCAGACTGACAAAAACAGAGCAACAGATTGGGGCTTAGTTATTGGTAGGTTTATGAATATTTATGTACTTTCTTCAGACAGTTATTAAAGTTGCTAATGACTAAGCTAGCTCTTAAAACTCACCAACCTAAGTTGGCTGTCTAAGCTCGTATTATTCTCAACAACACCGCCCCTGCTGTGGAGCATGTTGGTGGCAGTATCAAGCTGTGGGAATGCTTTTTTGATTGGCAGAAAATGAGAAACTGGTCAGAGTCTAAGGAAAGCTGGATGGAACAATGGGCCTCATGCAAAAACCGTTCGTACGCACAGATTTGTTCTTAAATTGTGCGTACGAGTGATTTAGGAGAATTTGTGGCATTCACCAATGTTTTCGTATTCTACGATTTTTTTCAGATACGAACAAAATTCACGAGTGGTCCAGACCTGTCGTATATTTTACGTGAAGTCAGTCTGCTGTTTTCCAGACGGGTTTTCTTCACTAATAACTTTATATTTTGTTAGTTTGAAGATATTTTGAGTTGAAAATAAATTACACTCCATAATTATGTTGACAATAGGCTATTCTGCTTGAATTAGAGTTATAATTTTAATATATAATATAAATTGTCCGTCCGGCCGGCTTATCCGCTATCGGGTGCGGCGGGGGGAGAGCGCAGGAGAAAAACCCCGGTCTCCCCAGAGACACTTTCCAGCTCGTCCTGGGGGACACCGAGACGTTCCCAGGCAAGAGGGGATACATGATCAAGTCCTGGATTTTCTCCAAAGTGCCAGACTTATTTTGAAAACATTTTAAAATGATTATTTTAAACCCGCATCTGAGACCACCGCAGCGCGCTGGGGGGGGGGGGGGTTTACGGTGAGCAGCGCTGCGCTGCGGCTTCTGAATAAATGAAAATGATTTAACATAGTTGTTTATACTTTTAGCAGCTCTTTTTTATTCCACAGCTGAGCTGCTAAAAATGACAGATTTTCTTTTCTGGATCTCTGACAGACGGACTTCAATCTCTGAAAGAGTAAAGTTTTTATTTTTTCAGTTTTCGCTGTCATTTTCATGAATGAATGAACACTTCCTTGTATCTGAGGCATAGCCTTATATGGTGTTTTTGGGGTGGTAATTATGCTAATCTCCTCTCGCGTGCACGAGCAGCTGGATAGAACGGGTGGAAATTTACGCAGCTCATTTACACACTTTTCCTGAAGATAGAAGAGTTTGTTGAATCTGACGTGACATGTTCGTACGAACCCTTTGTACGAACAAAAGTAAGAGAAATTTAGGATAAAAATACGAACATGTTCTTGCATGAGGCCCAATAACTTTGCAACCCACTGTATGATTAGTGCAAAAGCAGCTACAGTAATCTGTGATGTTTTACTGTTTTCTGAGGAGCAATCGAGAGAAAAGTTTCTCACCAGAATCCTTTGTAATGAAACTCGAGTCAGAACTTGGCTTTGCAAAGACAGGAGAAGGAAGTGGTAGTTCTGCTGTAGCCTTCACCATGTACACCATATCCCCTACCTACAGAACCATGAACAACATACAAACATAGTAAAATGTAATTTCTGTCACATCTTGTCTAAGTACAACTCCAATGAAGTTAGGATGTTGTGTAAAACAAGTAAAAACAGATGATTTGTAAATTCTTTTCAGCCTATTTTCAGTTGAATACACAACAAAGACAAGATATTTAATGTTCAAACTGATAATCTTTAGTTGTTTTTTTATATTCACTCATTTTGAATTTGATGACTGCAACAAGTACCAAAAAGCTGAAACAGCAGCAACAGAAGTCTGGGAAAGTTAAAGAATGTTCACAGTGTTACACAGGTGAACAGGGTAATTGGAAACAGGTGTCACCAATGTGTCTAAAAGGGAGCATCCCAGAAAGACTCAGTCGTTCACAAGCAAGGATGGGGCGAGGTTCACCCCTTTACAAACAACTGTGAGCAAATAGTTCATCAGTTTACAAACAAAGCTTTTAAAGGTACAAATGCAAGGAATTTGGACTCATTTGGATTGACCAAAGTGGAAAAGTGTCCCGTGGTCTGACAAGTCCACATTTCAAAATGTTTTTGAAAATCATGGATGCTGTGTCCTCCATGACTGTCCATATTGTTGTCAGGACAAAGTTTAAAAGCCAGTCTCTGATTAGTGTCTTCAGTTCTCAAACAGTGTTGTTAAAAGGAAATGTGAAATGACCCTGTCCCAGCTTTTTTGGAACATGTTGCAGTCATCAAATTAAAAAAAAAAACCCACACAATAAAATGTATGCATTTGAACAATAATTATCTTGTTTTTGTAGTGTATTTAACTGAATATAGATTGAAAAGGATTTGCAAATCATCGTATTGTTACTGATGTTTCACACAACGTCCCAACTACATTAGAACTAGGGTTGTAAAACCGTAAATAAATAAAATGATTTGTTTAAAGAATAAGGACACAGACCTGAGGACAGGTCAGCAGCACAGTGCAGAATTTTGTCCCTGTGAAGAATGGCAGGTAGAGGATTCTGAGAGTGTCTGATTGGCCAGACTGTAGACCAACAGCCCTCACAGTACTCAGGAACTCTGAGTCTTCACCGCCTACACAGACCAGCAAAGGAACTGATCAAAAACCACGATCCTGAATGCAGGCACTGCAACCCTGAGGTGTCCCTTGACTTTCTYCAGTTTTAAGACCTGAATAATTAAACCTACACGTTGTGACTTATTCAATGGACCAGTCTCCTTCAGGATCCAGGACATCAGAAYATACCTCTGAAAAAACAATATTTAAATTCTACAGACCTGTTCAACAGATTGTTTCTTTCTTCAACAGACACTCAGAAAGAAACATCTGAATAAAGGTCAAAATACAACATCTAAACAGTGGTGGGCATATCTACCTGCCCTGGATTACTGAGATGCATCAGGACAGTGGTGGGCATAGTTACACTTATCAGCCCTAAGCTAACAGCATGACTAATTTTGTTAACACTGCTGTGTTAGCCTCTCAATTCTTTTGTTTATATGTTTAGCATTGTGCGTTTTGAGTTAGTTAACAGTGGTGGGCTACAACTCTAAAATAGACATATCTCAAAAATAAATCAAACGTACTAAGTTGTATCACGGCAGTGTATTTATTAAACAATAAAACAATAAAAACAGCCTTACAATGTCCTGTAAYGTTTTATCTTTTGTACATAAAYTTTGCCCTTCTGTGCTTGAGATGTAAATTTCTTAATGACTCTGGTTAAAGTCAGGGATGTAATGGTAAATGGACTGTACTTGTTTAGTGCTTTTTTTCCATCCAGGACACTCAAAGCACTTCACWCTACAATCTGTGTCCACATTTATCAATTCACACAGCACTCTACTAGGTCTCTGCAAAGCTAACATGTACAATTATCTATGGAGACTAATCAGTGCCTATCACATTCATACACTGATGGGACACACATCAGAGGCATTAGGAGTGAAGTGCCTTGSCCAAGGACACAACAACTGAGACAGCTGGATGGGTGATCTACCGGGTCCAGGACGACTCCCCTAACCACTCTGCCACACGTTTTAACAAGATTCTTCTCTACAGAGAGCATGACCAGTGCCTCAGGTATACTGTGTACCTGAAGAAAGTYTGGATTCTCTTCAGTGTTGAGAAGCTYCTSTCAAATTCAGCTGTGGTCAGAGGAGATGTGATGAGAATCTTCAGCAGAGTCCCAGTCTCTGAGGTGTCCTGCAGATTGTTCTCGATGAAGAGCTGGTACAGAGCCACAGCACCACTGCAGCAGCTCCTGAACTCATCCAGGCTTTAGATGAGAGCCTGTTCAATCTTCAGCTTGGTCTTGTTCAGCATTGGGTAAAGCCGGGTTCACAGGGCAGGATAATTGTTTCAAATTGGCCCAATTTTACCCTTCTGACAATCTAAGGAAGCTAAAATTATTGTGATGGCTTTAAAGACAATCTTAGAAGATCTTSCTGTCATGTGTGGAGTTAAGAATGAATCTAGTCGACTTGGAAGGACGACTGGACCGCTCCAACCTCAAATCAGGGATAATTAACATACTGGATTGTCTTGGCTTGATATCAAAGCGTGTGTGGTGTTCATCCAAGAACAAACAAGCTGCAACCTGTTGAATGTGATGTATAGCAAATCAGAAAGCGAGGTAACGTAAACACTGAGGGKAATCTAAAATACAGAAGACATAAAAAACTGTCATGACTCACCAGAAAGACAGCTGGATGTTGTAGGTCATTTTGAATTGTTTATTCTCTGTTAAAAATAGTTCACAAATGATCAACACTGCTTCTTCCTCGTCTCAAATGTTTATTTACTCAGAACTTACATCTGACCTCTGGAGGTCACGTGAAATTTTTCCTCTGAAATCTGTATTTTCCTGAGATTTCAAGAATTCTTGCGTGATTTCACATCTGACATCTGAATGTTCATGAATAAAATCTGTCCATGTTTGGTGTGTTGTCTCTTGCCGTGTGGCTGTACAGACTGTTCAGAGAACTGGCTGTAGTCCTGTAGGAACCTGTCTGCCGGCAGCAGTGTAGCACTGATCAGATGCTTCTAAATGTCTCAAGATGATGTCACAAACCTAAAAGAATAAATGCACAAATTTAATTCAATACAGAGATGGGTATAAATGAGCTTTCTAATATATAACACGTAATATACAGAAAACACTTGATGTAATGAATATACTGTATGTGTTAATTTAACAGATAGTTGCACCTTTAAGGAAAAATATAAAATTAAATTAAATAATAAAATAAAATAA